AATCTAATTAAATGATTGCACTAATCTCAATGTCATGACAGTGTTGACAACTTAGAGACTTTGTCGCTAGATTAAGTGACTTTTCAAACCACCAGCCTTTTTTTTTATCCTAGCGACTTTTCCTGGTCTTTTTTGGCTGACGAGCTCTTCAGATGGAGGAACCGCTTCTGTGCCTGTCTGTCTCTATTTAGTGTCCAAACATCAAAATAAATTGAACACAGGCAAGTGTAACACCCTTATTGGCTGACGAGAATTCCTTGTTGGTGTATGTCAGGAGGAGGACAGCAGTTTAAATCGCTGTTTAAAATAAACCACAAAAGTAAATTAAAATAAAAAAACTTTTTGTTGTTTTTTAGCTGTAAATAATTTATCGCTGGTGGGGAATGTATGGCACGCGCGTCATGCGTCATTTTGCAAATGAGACAGTGAAGTCATCTAGAAACTTTTGGGCCAGCCACTAGCGACTTTTCTTACTGAGGAGTTGACAACACTGTGTCACTACAACTAAGGCCATGTCCACACATACCTGCGGCTTTTTTTCCCCTCACACTGTGTACAAAAAAACCTGCATCCTCATGTGTCCGTTTAAAAAAAAATAAAACGCTTCCACACGGACACTTTAAAAAGCCTTGAAATACTGAAATGATAAAATAACACTGCATGTGCAAAAACTCATGCGCCTCTGTTCAGTGATAAAATAGTAAACATGCGCATGTGATCATTGCACTCTTGGTGCAGGTTATTGCACTGTTGGCGCACTGTTGCTCTCTAACAGAGCATGGCACAAAGAGAGACAAACTGAAACTCAACGTTGGGCAGTAGCAACAGCATGCCCGTTCAGCCTGATTAGGCAATGTCCTGAAATCTCTTTATATCATCTACAAATCTGGAAAAAAATGTTTCATTAAAAACATAGGCAGACAATAAAAATTACTTTTGAAAAATGTTTCCCTTATGGGTCAAAGAACCAGATTTGGCTCTATAGAACCTTTTTTTCAAAAGTGCCATTTAACACCTTTACATATACAGTGGTACCCCCAGATACAAATGCGTCGAGTTACGAAATGTTCAAGATACGAAAGGTCTCTTGATTTTTCTCTGGTTTTCCATTTTTTATCAACTTATACTATTGTTTCTGAGAGGCGTTGCACGGATTAGGGGTTTTACATGTAAAACTTGCTTCAAGATATGAAATGTTCGAGATATGAACGCCACCCTGGAATGGATGAATTTCGTGTCTCGGGGTACTGCTGTACTTGCAGTTAAAACAACAAATAACTGAAACCACAAGTACCAAAAAGGCCATAACAGTTTCTTTATACTATAGAAATATCTTGTTTGTGTAAACCTCTTGTTATTGTAAACTATTTATTAATTAATAACAAGTAGTGTTATTATAACGTTACCTCAACTACAAAGAACCAATGAAGAACCAAAAAGAGCTTAAGGGTTTTGTGAAAAAGTGCTACATTGCACCGTCAAACCTGCAAACAACCAGTGAAGAACCACTGAGTGTACTCTCCATGGACGCCCAGTTATTTCCTTATCCAAATGAATCTTTTGCATTTAGTTTTTTTGCATAGATAATGGCACAGATTTCTTTAGTGCTTTTTTAAGTGAGCATCTATCAATGCTCTTCGATGCGGTTGTTCCAGATACAGAGTTGTACAGTGCGCGTGGTCAGTTCACTTCTAAGCATCGGAATGTGCAGTCTGAGAACATGAATTGTGAGCTTTGAAATTTGAACCCATCACATAACTTTTAAGCTAAGTGTTTATTATTCAGATATTATTTTAAAAAAAAATTATTATAGCTGAAGATAGTTTATACTATTTGCCTCCCTGCTTAATTCTGCACCAAACTGGAAAAACTAGATGTCTTGAAAGCCTTACAGATCTAACCAAAACCCATATTTTATTGCCAAATTTAATGTTTTTCTATTGAGACTCTTATTATCAGATGTTAAAAATAACTCAGAATAGAGAGAGACATAGGCCACTGATTACAGTTGACTTATATATATCAGGCTCTTAAAGAATGGTAAGTGGACATTCCACACCATGCTAAATGCTTAGCCATTAAGGATGTTTCTAGACTGCACTGTTTCCAAGCCCTGGAAAGAAATATGTTTCAAATTGTAGCTGGTAAAAATGACAAAATTTGCTTTCAGTCCATGGGCACTCCTGTGCAGTAGACATATAAATCAAGGTGGACCATAATGTTTATAAAATAATGAGAACAATAGAAGCATTTTATTTATTTAAATCCTTCAAGTTTGATCTCACCTTTTTGGCATAAATATATTCAGTTGTTCATTGTTCTAGGATCTAAAATAATTATTATGAACCATTGACATTTCTTTTCAAGATGGAGAGTATAGAGCAGCTATCTAGCTGAATATTTAACCACTATTTTGTTTCATCCCTGCTACTTGTTAGTTTTGATAAACACAAAGCCTATACACTGGGGCCAGAATGCGGTGATGAGGCCTTCGCGTTTTATTGGAGAAGAGCAGGCCCATTGTTCCAAAAGCCACCTCGATCAACACTCCTCCTCCTCATGCCTCACTGGCCCTGTCCCCTTGAATCAGCGTCACACATCTCTGCAGCACTTAGCCTGTGTTCCTTCTGTCCTCTGTGCCTCACTGCATACTCACCATTTCCTCTCCTTCTTTCAGTTCAAAAGGTTCATCAAGATTAATAAAATCTTTTATTTTGGTGAGTGTTTTCTCAAATGCTGTTGCAATACCAGTAGAGTTTGTTCATTTGGAGCTATACAAAATCCTCAGTTAATCTAGGAAAACATTTTCACTACCAAGTCAATGGGATGATCAATCACAGTTAACTACTTCACAATATAGCCATCAATTCATTTTTAATGTATCCATCAATTAGGTTTACTGGTTATGGCCACAGGGTTCTGCTGGTGCCAGCTCACTCTGAGCGAAAGAGTGTATATCCTGGCCATGTTTCACAGAGACACGTTCACCCCATCTTCAATTCACCTAAAGGATGTTTTTGGACTGATTGAACTCCTGGATCTACTTTCCATTTCCTCCAATCGTCTTCAGTGTTCACCCCTAAAAAAACCTCCAACTTGCAGAAGCCTGTTGACACTTCATCTATGTTTTGGTTGGGTTCATGTGTTCTTTGTGTTGGAAAACCCAGCCACCAAGGAAATAAGGTGCTCTGTGGCCAACTTCCTTCATTGCATCTTTCTCATGAACCTTGTAGATTATGTTAATCATAATAAAAACCTAAATCTTTTTATTTCAGAGAACTAAACCATAGCAACCAAATTCTTAGAACAATACCTAAGTTTCGGAAAATAATTGAGATATTGGGGTTGGTTTGTATTACTTTGAGTCACTAAGGTAGCTCAGAGGAAACATTACACAATGTCGCTGAACCCTCCATAGCAACCAATTTAGCATCTCTATCTCAGCTTTGGAAAATCATATTTATTGGACTTATGGGTTGGTTTATGATACTTATTGCGTATTAGGTCACTCATACTTCTAGCAATCATACCATTTACTTTAGCAACCGATTTGGCATATAATGGTGCATTGATGATTGGATTATCAATCTTAGCCGCTTCCACAGTGGGGGAAAGTTCAATTGCCAAACATAGATGAGTATATAAAGAGTCTGAGAAACAGCACAGATGATGTAAACGCTATGACTAGTCTGTGCCTCATGCACCCTCCTACAAATATCAATGGGGTATCGTATTAAGTTTAAATTTCAAAAAGCATATGAATGTATGTTAATTTTCCAGATTTTTGAGAGTTTAGATTTCAAATTGATGGACCTAAGATTTATTATGGGAATAGATCAGATGTTACAAGAACATAGGTACTACCCAATTATTAATTTATTTTCTTACACGCTTATTCCCTTTCGGATCACGGGGGTCCACTGGTGAAGTGCATCTCCTCTGCACTTCAGGCTAGAGGCGGGGTACACCCTGGACAGATCGCCAATCCATCGCAGAGCAACTACCCAATTAAAATGTATATAATATGGCTACTTAAAACTTTCAAAAGATTGTTTTAAAATCCGTCACATTGTGAGTAAAGATACTAAACCTGTTGCGACAATAATATACTGTGCATAAATTTGATTTTAACAGACCTTGAAAAAAAGTAATTTAGCCATTTTTAAAGCCATTTTTTCTGTTGAAGTAGAAGAGGAGACAAAGAATATGCAGCCAGGAGGAACTGATTTCATCAAATATTAAACAGCGTTCACAATGCGTGTGACTCTTAAGAGCTGGATGAGGGGCATCCATGTTGGTGCTAAAGTGGGCCAGTGATTTGCCTTCTCTTAAGGTGTATGAATGCAATGCTGAACCTCTCTAAAGCTTTCTAAAACTGTTATCATTGCCAGTTGATATGAGGGATGAGAAAAATCCTGTAAAGAATATTTTTTTAAGAAAACAATAAAAAACACAGCAAAACATTTGAGCACTTCAGCTGTTCATCACATCTAGTCTGCTCAGCCTCTAAAAAGATGAATATTTCATAATGAACCTCCCTCCTGTACTAGGCCTGTCAGCTCCTGTTCTTTCCACAACTGTGCACCATTCCCTTTCTGGACTTAAGAGGATGGCACAGTTTGTATTATTCAGATGCTTCGTGCTGTGCATTTTCTCCCCTTTAAAAATGAGCCCATACGGAATGACATCTAAAGCGGGCTAAATGCAACTATAACTATCGCTTCCACTGATTATTTATAACTTGATTTTTTGCGCTAACAATCAAAAACCTTGACTTGGTGGAAATTTTCAATCATCAAAATGGTGATATGTACAGTTTTCCAAAGGGGACACCCAGATTTGAACTGAGGACCTCTTGATCTGCAGTCAAATGCTCTACCACTGAGCTATACCCCCTTCTGTTTTCAAACTGTGAATTGACAGAAATCCACCACAAACCCCAAAACCACTTGTTTTTATGTTGGAAATAATCATTCATCAATAGAGGGACATATGCAGTTTTCCAAAGGGGGCACCCAGAATTGAACTGGGGACCTCTTGATCTGCAGTCAAATGCTCTACCACTGAGCTCTGTTTTTAGACCTAAATCCAAAAAAACACTTGTTTTTATGTTGGAAATATTCAATCATCAAAATAGGTGATATGTACAGTAGTTTTCCAAAGGGGGCACCCAGATTTGAACTGGAGACCTCTTGATCTGCAGTCAAATGCTCTACCACTGAGCTACATACCCCTTATGTATCTGTATTCTGGTTGGAAATTTAAACACAACACACCTCAAAACCACCTGATTTTTTGCGCTAACAATCAAAAACCTTGACTTGGTGGAAATTTTCAATCATCAAAATGGTGATATGTACAGTTTTCCAAAGGGGGCACCCAGATCTGCAGTCAAATGCTCTACCACTGAGCTATACCCCCTTCTGTTTTCAGACTGTGGATTGACAAAAATCCACCACAAACCCCAAAACCACTTGTTTTTATGTTGGAAATATTCAATCATCAAAAGAGTGACATATGCAGTTTTCCAAAGGGGGCACCTAGATTTGAACTGGGGACCTCTTGATCTGCAGACAAATGCTCTACCACTGAGTTATACCACCTTAAGTATCTGTATTCTGATTGGAAATTTAAACACAACACACTTCAAAACCACTTGATTTTTTTGCGCTAACAATCAAAAACCTTGACTTGGTGGAAATATTCAATCATCAAAATGTTGACATGTACAGTTTCCCAAAGGGAGCACCCAGATTTGTACCGGAGACGTCTTGATCTGCAGTCAAATGCTCTACCACTGAGCTATACCCCCTTTTGTTTTCAGACTGTGGAATGACAAAAATCCACCACAAACCCCAAAACCACTTGTTTTTATGTTGGAAATATTCAATCATCAAAATGGTGATATGTACAGTTTTCCAAAGGGGGCACCCAGATTTGAACTGGAGACCTCTTGATCTGCAGTCAAATGCTCTACCACTGATCTATACCCCCTTCTGTCTCTGTGTTCTGGTTGGAAAATTAAACACAACAAGCATCAAAACCTTCTTGATTTTTAGCGCTAATAATCAAAAACTTGACTTGGTTTAAATATTTAATCATCAAAAGAGTAACATATGCAGTTTTCCAAAGGGGCACCCAGATTTGAACTGGGGACCTCTTGATCTGCAGTCAAATGCTCTACCACTGAGCTATACCCCCTTCTGTCTCTGTATTCTGGTTGGAAATTTAAACACAACACACCTCAAAACCTTCTTGATTTTTAGCGCTAATAATCAAAAACCTTGACTTGGTGGAAATATTCAATCATCAAAATGTTGACATGTACAGTTTCTCAAAGGGGGCACCCAGATTTGAACTGGGGACCTCTTGATCTGCAGTCAAATGCTCTACCACTGAGCTATACCCCCTTCTGTCTCTGTATTCTGGTTGGAAATTTAAACACAACAGACCTCAAAACCACTTGATTTTTAGCGCTAATAATCAAAAACTTGACTTGGTTTAAATATTTAATCATCAAAAGAGTAACATATGCAGTTTTCCAAAGGGGGCACCCAGATTTGAACTAGGGACCTCTTGATCTGCAGTCAAATGCTCTACCACTGAGCTATACCCCCTTCTGTTTTTTAGACTGTGGAACGACAGAAATCCACCACAAACCCCAAAACCACTTGTTTTTATGTTGGAAATATTCAATCATCAAAATGGTGATATGTACAGCTTCCCAAAGGGGGCACCCAGATTTGAACTGGGGACCTCTTGATCTGCAGTCAAATGCTCTACCACTGAGCTATACCCCCTTTCAAATCTGTATCCTGATTGGAAATTTAAACACAACACACCTCAAAACCACTTGATTTTTTGCGCTAACAATCAAAAACCTTGACTTGGTGGAAATATTCAATCATCAAAATGGTGATATGTACAGTTTTCCAAAGGGGGCACCCAGATTTGAACTGGGGACCTCTTGATCTGCAGTCAAATGCTCTACCACTGAGCTATACCCCCTTCTGTCTCTGTATTCTGGTTGGAAATTTAAACACAACAGACCTCAAAACCACTTGATTTTTAGCGCTAATAATCAAAAACTTGACTTGGTTTAAATATTTAATCATCAAAAGAGTACCATATGCAGTTTTCCAAAGGGGGCACCCAGATTTGAACTGGGGACCTCTTGATCTGCAGTCAAATGCTTTACCACTGAGCTATACCCCCTTCTGTCTCTGTATTCTGGTTGGAAATTTAAACACAACACACCTCAAAACCTTCTTGATTTTTAGCGCTAACAATCAAAAACCTTGACTTGATGGAAATTTTCAATCATCAAATTGGTGATTTGTACAGTTTCCCAAAGGGGGCACCCAGATTTGTACCGGAGACATCTTGATCTGCAGTCAAATGCTCTACCACTGAGCTATACCCCCTTCTGTTTTTATACTGTGGAACGAAAAAAATTCACCACAAACCTCAAAACCACTTGTTTTTATGTTGGAAATATTGAATTATCAAAATAGTGATATGTATTGTTTTCCAAAGGGGGCACCCAGATTTGAACTGGGGACCTCTTGATCTGCAGTCAAATGCTCTACCACTGAGCTATACCCCCTTCTGTCTCTGTATTCTGGTTGGAAATTTAAACACAACACACCTCAAAACCTTCTTGATTTTTAGCGCTAATAATCAAAAACTTGACTTGGTTTAAATATTTAATCATCAAAAGAGTAACATATGCAGTTTTCCAAAGGGGGCACCCAGATTTGAACTGGGGACCTCTTGAACTGCAGTCAAATGCTCTACCACTGAGCTATACCCCCTTCTGATTTCAGACTGTGGATTGACAAAAATCCACCTCACACCCCAAAACCACTTGTTTTTATGTTGGAAATATTCAATCATCAAAATGGTGATATGTACAGTTTTCCAAAGGGGGCACCCCGATTTGAATTGGAGACCTCTTGATCTGTGTTCAAATGCTCTACCACTTAGCTATACCCCCTTCTGTATCTGTATTCTGATTGGAAATTTAAACACAACACACCTAAAAACCACTTTATTTTTGCGCTAACAATCAAAAACCTTGACTTGATGGAAGTTTTCAATCATCAAAATGGTGATATGTACAGTTTCCCAAAGGGGGCACCCAGATTTGAACTGGGGACCTCTTGATCTGCAGTCAAATGCTCTACCACTGAGCTATACCCCCTTCTGTTTTTAGACTGTGGAACGACAAAAATCCACCACAAACCCCAAAACCACTTGTTTTTATGTTGGAAATATTCAATCATCAAAATGGTGATATGTACAGTTTTCCAAAGCGGCACACAGATTTGAACTGGGGACCTCTTGATCTGCAGTCAAGCGCTCTACCACTGAGCTATACCCCCTTCTGTATCTGTATTCTGATTGGAAATTTAAACACAACACACCTCAAAACCACTTTATTTTTTGCGCTAACAATCAAAAACCTTGACTTGATGGAAATTTTCAATCATCAAATTGGTGATTTGTACAGTTTCCCAAAGGGGGCACCCAGATTTGTACCGGAGACATCTTGATCTGCAGTCAAATGCTCTACCACTGAGCTATACCCCCTTCTGTTTTCAGACTGTGGATTGACAAAAATCCACCACAAACCCCAAAACCACTTGTTTTTATGTTGGAAATATTCAATTATCAAAATGGTGATATGTACAGTTTTCCAAAGAGGGTACCCAGATTAGAACTGGGGACCTCTTGATCTGCAGTCAAACGCTCTACCACTGAGCTATACCACCTTTCAAATCTGTATTCTGATTGGAAATTTAAACACAACACACCTCAAAACCACTTGATTTTTTGCGCTAACAATCAAAAACCTTGACTTGGTGGAAATTTTCAATTATCGAAATGGTGATATGTATAGTTTTCCAAAGGGGGCACCCAGATTTGAACTGGGGACCTCTTGATCTGCAGTCAAATGCTCTACCACTGAGCTATACCCCCTTCTGACTCTGTATTCTGGTTGGAAATTAATTCACAACACACCTCAAAACCTTCTTGATTTTTAGCGCTAATAATCAAAAACCTTGACTTGGTGGAAATTTTCAATTATCGAAATGGTGATATGTATAGTTTTCCAAAGGGGGCACCCAGATTTGAACTGGGGACTTCTTGATCTGCAATCTAATGCTCTACCACTGAGCTATACCCCCTTCTGTTTTCAGACTGTGGATTGAACAAAAATCCACCTCAAACCCCAAAAACCACTTGTTTTTATGTTGGAAATTTTCAATTATCAAAATGGTGATATGTACAGTTTTCTAAAGAGGGTACCCAGATTTGAACTGGGGACCTCTTGATCTGCAGTCAAATGTTCTACCACTGAGCTATACCCCCATCTGTTTTCAGACTGTGTAACGACAAAAATCCACCACAAACCCCAAAACCACTTGTTTTTATGTTGGAAATATTCAATTATCAAAATAGTGATATGTATAGTTTTCCAAAGGGGGCACCCAGATTTGAACTGGGGACCTCTTGATCTGCAGTCAAATGCTCTACCACTGAGCTATAACCCCTTCTGTCTTTTTAATCTGGTAGGAAATTTAAACACAACAGACCTCAAAACCACTTGATTTTTAGCGCTAATAATCAAAAACTTGGTTTAAATATTTAATCATCAAAAGAGTAACATATGCAGTTTTCCAAAGGGGGCACCCAGATTTG